AATGCAGTGGACAAGAAACTAATCGCTCCAGATGAAAAAATTCAAGGTTTGCTAGCACTGAGCTTTGCATGCTGAAGAACCATCTTCAGAAGGAATTATTCCTTGAATAGCTTCCTCTAAATTCCTCCCACAGACTCACTAAGAAAAAAATCACTTAACTCACGCAAACTAACACCCTCAAACTAATGGAGCTATTTTTCCTGTGGATTGCAAAGGAAGATAAATTGTTGCTTCTATTTTTAAGCAGTGATGAGGACACACAAATTCGTCGATCTCTAATGCCAACTATGGCTCTATTTCAGAAGGGTTTCCTTTGGTGCCATCATGAAGCAGTAGCATGAGAAGACATTTACTGGATGCTAGAAATATCTGTGCTTGAAATCCACCATCTCACCCTGTCTAACAATTTAAAGGAGAAAAATATACCTGCGTGGAATAAAAGCAAGACAGGTTTCACACAAACATCCACGTATGTAACCAACCGGTAATTCAAGGTTTGTAATTTGAGAAACTTTATCAAAACCTCTTGGGGAGAATTGAGTTGAGTCGCATACACACAAAACCAAAGTCCTTTTAAAGGCATCCCGAATCTTTGAATATTTCCTGCCATACAGCCTGCCTCACAGTTCCCAAACTTTTATTCAGGTGAAAAATTTTACTCCCAAGATGATTTTTGGAACACAGGACTTTATGTCTACACACAGATTATTTTAAAGAACATTTGAAAAACTGCATTCTTCAGCTGTTTTGTGTTTTGGAATCAAACTAAATAATTCAAAGCCTGCTGATGTCTAAACTTATAAGTAGAAAGACGGGCTATTCAGAGTTGATGGATGCAGCGAATACCACAAGGCAAAGCACTGGAACGCTTACTAGGGACTTTTTAGCCTGAGCAGGGACAGGTCGTACGTAGCCATATACCATTCCGAGACTCCCATTCCTTCTCCCTTTTCCACGGACTTTGGTTTGTCACAAGCTTCATCTTCCCATTCCCAAAGCAGCAGCATTAGAAGTTACATCTCCCTGCAGTTTTGCTGAAAAAAGAGCACACCGTGTCCTGCTTATTTTCTCCCACATTGCTAGAAAAAATGAGATGCATGTTCTGTTGCTCCTCTTTCTTAAGCCACCCAGTCAGATGAAGGGGGGTGTGGAACGCTTTACTCGGTCTCTTTTGTTTCTACCTTCATTTCCCCAAAACCCAAAGCCTTTTCTGACACCCACTTGTAAGACTACCAGGGCCAAGTTTGTAAAAATGTGCGGTTTCACTTCCACTGCTCCCGACATCCCAGAACAATCACGCACCCTGGCCTGCTGCTGCCATCTCCTGATGGCATTTGTTCAACGTGAACGTTGTTTCCAGTAACTACAGGGACGGGGCGAGGTCCTCCTCCACGAACCTCGCGCTCCACAGCTAAAAAACGCAACAGGTAATAAAACGCTAACAGCGGTCCACAACCTCTGCTGTATTTCAAAAGCCTCCTCTGAAGGACACTTTCCCCACGCTCTCAATCTCCAAACCCTCCTCCCCACCCTTTGGCAAAAAAAACCTTTCCAATTTGAGATGCTTAGATCATTATGTTCCTAAAAACTGCATTCTTCAAGCAAACAGCAACCTCCCTGTTTGCAGGAGAACTGACTCCAAAGAGCTGTCATCCAGGCTGAAGGACGGCACATTTCAGCTACATCCTGGATGCCCGAAATCCTTTAAATGACTTCCAGGTCTTACAAGAGGAGTACAGAGCCGGCTGCTTTACTAGCAGGCAGCTGGAAAAGCCCCTCTCTCCACATTTACCAGAAACCTCCCAAACAGACGCCCAATGCAGCGGTAGCGTTACGCGTAAAAATAGCAAGTGTGTTCCATAAAGCAGAGAAAACAAGCGCACGAGGGGTCCGTGAAAGGCACGCTGCGTTCCAGCAGTTCCTGCAGGCCAAAGCCACCCAAAGCAAAGCTGCTTCAGAAGGCGTAATGAGAACCTGCACGAGGAATTACGGAAACACGAACACTGCTTACGTTTTTCCGAACTGGCTAAGTAATTTCAGAGTTGAGCTCTCTCTCCGAATCTCGTGTGCCTGGGAAGAAGCGCACTAAGGGTCCCGTTCGCAGCCCAGCCCCGGAGCCTCGTACCTCTCTCCCATGGTGCCGGGCAGCTCCTCGCTCCGGCCTTGGCCAGCCTGGCAGCTCTGGAAGCCCCTAC